AACACCACTGTAGGTAATAACAGAGTTACTCAACTCAACTGAGATTCTGAATTTTGTTTACCTGTGACAATGTGGGTACGATAATTTGAAAACTGTTGAGTCGTGTTAGCAATCACACGTTAAAAGGTAAGACCTCATTAATCTTTAGCTCGCACAAGTTTCGACTTCTGAGGGTTGTTGTTCTGTTTTTCCGTTTGTTCTGTTTTTCCGTTAACCAGCTATCGATTTGATCAATAAGCAGGTTACATCTGCAATGCTAATGAATTTCCAAGGATTCCAAATGAGTGAGTTTCCAACTCTTGCTTGCATAGTGCAAAATATCTGTATCGTTGAGATTTGGGAACTCGTAGTTGCATTTCAAGGAATGGCTTGAAAATGTCGAATCATTTTTACCCAGTCTAAAAGACCATTCATGTTCAGCATACCGTTTTAAGAAATTTCAGACACATTGTTCCAAACACATTCCAGATTTCTGCATCTTGCCCACTTTATCTTTGGCATTAAAAAGCAAATTAGATTACCTGGCATGCGGTCTGAATGCCACTTCCACATTTGTTTTTTTCTGAAAAAAACCGCAATTGTCTCTGCTCTTTTACCAAAATATGTTAGAGTTACAAATTTCTTGATTTTTGATTGTTTGATCTAGGGGTATAATATTCTGTACGTAAATTTGAGGCTTTGTTTTCTGACTAACTTCTGGATTGTGTCTGCTTTGAAACCATTTGTCGTATCTGTATAATTATTTTAATTTCCCTATCTAGCAGATAAAGGTAACAATAAAACTCTGTGCAACATTGAATTGTATGACTGTCAGGATGGAAAGAATCACTTGGGATTGTAACGTCTGTATAACTCGGTTTTCTGAATACATTGAAGAAGAATAACTGTGTGTTTCTATACAAGTGGTAAAAAAACATAGAAATTTTCATTTCTCATTTTTCATGATGATCTACTGTAGTAACGGCTGCATCCATCAATTTATTCCTTTGAAGAATATTCAGAGGCTCCAGTATGATCAACATATCTTTTCTCATAAGCATAAGTTTTTCAGTTTTCACCTTTTATATTTGCTTTATATACCTTGCATGTCATGTTATAAAAAGTGTCCTTCCTGTTGAAGGTGCATAACAATTTGTAGGTCGTATTGTTGTTTCTTTTCAAGGTTACCTCAGATGTGTTAAAATACAGGGTAATGTGTAAAGTGGTTAATAACTCTATCTACCTATAATTTAAGAAAAATAAATTAAAATCTGAAAGATCTTATCCGAACTTCCGAAGAAGTTATTGTATGTTGAAATATGTTTTGTGTTTTGTAAAATTTTCAACAAAGATCTGAAAAATGTCCTTTTTATACCTATTGTTCTTTATTCCTAGTTTAATGATATTGTTTTTAAAATTTTGAAAACTGAATCTTGAATCAATATTGAAATATCCTTCTAAATCAATATTACAGTTGTCTCATACCATATCTTGCTGTTAGGAACGTTATAATCATCATGTATCTAATATTTTGGTAACCGGGCAATGTTTTTGAAATGAAAAAAGACTTCTTTAAGATTGGTTGTTTGCCAAAATATAAAGACATACTATCTCCATAAATTAAAAATCTGATAACTTGATGAAAATTCTAAAACATATATCTATAAATGAGATGCACTGATACAAATTTGAAATTTTTTCCTCACTTTAAAAAAATGCTTTCACACCCAGGAATCAAGACTTTTTATTCCTATAATTTGAATAAATGTAAAATTCACTCTTAGAAATTTACCGTAACAGTTACAACTGCTGGAATAACTGACTAACATTCATACTGTGTATGATTTGTGTAGAAAGTTCTTAAAAATGAAATATTCAAGAAAACATATTCCTCAGAATTCTAATATAATGAATTTCTTTAGGGATACACTTCACAAAGTTTTATTTTACATTATATTTTGTAGCAAAGATATTTTTGAAGAAGTTTTTCAAAACTTATTTGTAGACATCCTCAAATCCTAATATAGAGAATTTCTCCAAATAAGTATTTTCTAGAAATCACAATACATTGAATCTGGACCATTTACTCAACTCCTAGTAATATTACCTGATATATGGCTGGATTTTCAACGATTTTTGAATTCTCAAATTATTTGAAACAAATCAAATGACTTTCCTCATACTCATCTTAGTTGTTGCACGTGCATTTAGACATCATCTTATTTCTCATAGCCAATTATCATAAATATCACTAAAAATCAAAACACTACAGTTTTTTCAAGCGCTATTATAAAACATTAAAATCTGATCCATCAACCACTAACTATTCCTCGTCATCGTGAGCCGAAGCGTTCATAGCTATCAAGAAATATTTACTCTTATAAACTCTACGTACTACAATCACGGTATTTCATATTCCAATATCTAACTCTCTTTTAAGTTCCTATCTACAAACCTAAACCGGCGTGCCAAAGTCGGGATCTCCCACTCCATCTGCATTCAGGGAATTGGCATTGTACACGTATCTCGCTAGTAACTTTTCTTTCCTCTGATCAGACTCGAGATCCCCAAACTCTTCATTCGGACATAACCTCAAAGCTTTTCCGACTCTCAAGTTCTGACCATGAAGCGAGAAATACTTCTTAGTGCCCACCGACTTGCTTAGGGCCAAATTGGACGTGCTTTCTGAGCTAAGAGGGAAGCTCTTCACGAAAATGTCGGACAAGAGATTATGGATGTTCTCCTCAAACTGCGAACTGGTATCTGGATACTTGTACATAGTTGCCTCTACCTTACTCTCGCACTTGGTCATCACTACAGGCTGAGGATCGTCCCCAAACTCGGAAGCTGTGGTGGATATATCCGAATACCCATCACGTTTGTTGAAGATACTCTGCAGGGTCTTCACGCCAAAGTACTTTTTCCGGTGTTTCTTCTGCTTCTTGTATTCGCGAGCTGGTTTGTGCAAGGGCGAACTGGCGCAGCTGTCGGCTGAATCCAGAAGGCTCTGATCGCTTTTTGGATTCGACAAAGAATCGTTTGAAGCATAATGCTCGGGTTCCTTTGCCAGCTCCTTGAATTTCTGGATACTGCCTTCATACGAGAATTTCATCTTACTCGTATCGGCCTGGATATTCTTTGGCGAGTGAGAATCATTAGAGGCTAGATCGGTAGAGAGAATTTCAGAATCTAGATAAATGTCAGTGCTCGTTTGCATAGGAGAGGATAGATTGTCAGAATTCAAAGAATTTGTTGAAGTGTTATAATTTTCTTCTATGTTCGGGAAGATGTTGACCTTTTTGAAGTTCTCCAACTTTATCATGTTATTCGTGGTATTGTCAATCAAGACGAGATCATTCATATCGACGTAAATGTCGGTGCCAGAGTTTTTTGTAGTGTTTTCCGGAGATTTATTGTTGTTTGTTTGATGAATAGAAACATTGCTTAATTTCTCTTCGGCATCAATATTTTCGGGCATTGTTATTTTAAACTCATCAACGTTTCCATTATTTTCTTCACCACCATCAATGTGGCTTCTCATTGTCTGCGTATGCTGAGTGCTAAGAATTTTTACCCTATTTTTTTCTGGACTGTTGGCTACGCTGCATTCTGATAACCTGAAAGTTATTTTAGTGAAACGCAGTTCTTGAAGAACTTTTGCCAAACGTGCTCTGATTCATGCAGCAACTGTGAAAACATTGCGCCATGCTCTAATATAACTGGAAAAAGCTGAAACAAATAGTAAGAACATGTTCAAAAAAATTAAAATGGAACAACTTAGGGCTGTTCACTAGTGGAATCCAACAGGATTATTCATGATAAAATATTACAGAAAGAATGAAGAGAATTTGAATGAGTTTTTGACTGACCCATTGATAAAGCTTGGTAATACTGAAATAATGAAAAAAAATTATTCCAAATCAGATACCTACATAAAATCTAAGTGGGACTTCGATAACAACTTGAACAAGTTGTCAATAATTTTACAAAAAGGACGACACTTGACGCCTCCCTTAAAAAGAACTCTGGAAAGAAGATGAATTTCTACTGTTAAGAATTACACGTAAAAAATAACTTTTTGAAATGATATGTCACTGTCAATCTCAACATTAAAAAAGTATTCGTTTTCCGAAGGATACAAGGAAGTAACTTCTATGCATGATCTATACATCTTTGTAAGGAGTTTATTCTGAACTTAATTACACACATTTTTTGCATAGAGATGGAGAAGTAGAAAACCAAAAACCTTTCTTTCCCAAAAACTAACCTCTTCCAAAAATATACCCCTTTTCAATTCAAACATTGGTTAGTATTTTGAATTTCAGTAGCACCGCACTGGTGACTGGTGAGATGAGTTCTCTGTCCATAGATGGTGTTTTTGTAAGAGGAGTCAGTGCCTATTCACACATTTCTTGTAACTTTTGAGACATATCCTCAATTATGTTAAAAGCTCCAATTCTGACACCAAATATGGTGTGAAATGCAGGCTTCACTTTATCAATAACACTTTACTATCATTTGTTGTTTCCACGATGCCAAAGAGTTATATTAACTTTATTACTATTTCAAAATGAATATAATAAAACACTCAGTAATAATAATTTGTAGTTGTTACAAAAACAAAATATCAAAACCTGTGAAGACAGTGTCTCATGCAAATATATACATTTATCAATGATTCACGGCCAATGCTGAAAATAGCACACATTAAGGACTGTAATTCAAATGAAATTTAAACGAAAAACAGCTAAACATCTTATATAATCTTATAATCAATTTTCAATTTGTATCAAAGCAAGTCTAACATTGAAATATTTCAAATGGTTTCCGAAACAACTATTTCCTGAGCTTATTTATGTTGAAAACCTTCATCCTTTTTTTTCCACTTTCTTTAATTACTTTATGAGAGTTTTACAACTAAAACGAACAACTAATAACATGCAGAAATCATAGAAATATTTTTGACACCTCTCAAATTACTCCAACGAAGCATTTCAGGAAAATCCATAGACAAATAAAAATTAAAACAATAAAATAAACTATATTGGCAATAAAGCACATATACAAAATTCAAAAGCCTTAAAAATAATTGACATGTTTAAACTAAAAGCTAAAGGAATTATCACATTCATAAAAATTGAATATATGGAAATATTGCACAATCAACATGCTTATAATACTTCAGATAGTTGAAAAAGTCTATAGAATTGTTTGGCAGCAACCAATTCTTTGATTTTTTCCAAACTCACCTGCTACCAGTGGTCGAATCAGGTGTTCTAGGAGCTGTAGGAGTATTCACAATCTCTTCAGTTTCTTTGTGATTACCTAAGTTATTAGTGTCACAAACGTCTTCATCAAAAAATCTAAAAAGAAGTTCCAGTCTGAACAAGATTGTAAACTTTTTTTAATCCTAAGAAATCATTATACTGTAATAGAAAACAATTTTCAAAGATCTTGGAATCGTTTTCTGAACTAGTTGCAATAATCTAAGTAACCAGAGAAGTTAGAGAACATAAAAAAGAATCAAATTATTCATTTCAATTTAACACCTACTTGAAATGGAATCCGTCCTCTTCCAAAGAATTGTCACTGTCATCTGCAGCGATATAGTGAACTTGCAGAGCACAGTCTCCAGTCTGTTGCTGAAGAATATTAACTGCTTCTCTGTGGCACACATTCCTCAAGTCTATCTCGTTAACGAAAAGTATAGCATCCCCGATGTAGAGCTGTTCAGAGAGAGCTGCAGGTCCGTTGGGTTCCAGTTCTGATATAAGGATCGGTACACCATGTTCTCGTCCTCCCTAAATAATGAAAAATAATAATGGCGAATCGACCTCATACAATTCAGGCGCTTATCCATTTTTATTAGTTATAATTTTACATCGAATTTTCCGTAGAACAGTCAATAAAGTCTAAAATACCTCAACAGAAATCTTTCGTGTCCGAGGATGAGAAAAAAAATCAAACAATATCCTGTCATTCAATAAAAACCAAAAAACCAAAATAGAATCAACTGTTTATCTAAATATGGGACGAAATTACCAGTCCACATGTCTAATTGTATCAAATATGTAGGTCTGTATCTATGTAAGACAATTTCTCCCGCCATTGGCACACTGGGTAGAATAGTGAAGTAACTATCAGTTATACACTGAAAAGCTGTCTATCAGTCATTAATAAATTGCTATCTGTCTAATTTGACTCTGGTATGGAGTAAAACTAAACTAAAATAAATTGGTTTATTTAAAAACGAAGCTATCCGGAAGATTCCATTTAAATGTTTAACTAGCCCTCTATTTTCAATCATAATTTGTCAACACTAAGTCAAAAACATAATTCAGCACATTTGAAACAACTTATAATTATAGCACCAGAAATAAACCTCACTGGTATACTCCTGGAAAGGAGAATATACCAGAGATAAAGACTGTATAATAATTTATTGAGTAATATAAAAAGAGAATTGAAGCATTATATATAAATTTAGCAAATAGTAGGAATATGCACAATTGAAACAGTTTAATTCACAAACAGAAATATCTTCGAATGAAGTCCCTTCTGATATTCAGGTATCTGAAAGGTACTCTAAATTTTGGTATAAAATGGTATGAAATGTAAAAAATATATTTTAAAACTTACTGCAGTGCTGATTTCAAAGCAAATTTTTCCTCCAGACATATTACTACTAGAGGATATGTAACCTTGATTTTCATGGGGTATGGATCACTTGAATTCTCACTATCAAAACTGCATCTTCAAGTTTATCAACATTAGATGCTACTTGAGAAGTTATTTGGCTAAAAAACTCGAACCCACCCACAAGTTAGTAGGTAGGCAATCAAAGTACGATAAAACTTAAATGTATTGAGAAAAGTTTTTTATGTTGAGAAAAAATCCATAAGAATTTACATTTCCTATTAATACTTCCAAGACAAATACAGTATAGGTCTTTCTGTGTCATTGAGATCATGCAAAATTTTTCACTGTACGTGTTTTAAATCTTTTGCAGATTTCCTACTTCTACCTTTCGAAACAAATAATTGCACATTCCTAACCACTTTTACCTACTGATGGTAAAGAACTGATGTGGATACTTTTGTCCTCAATGAGAGAGCAATTATTTCTATCAAAACTGATTTAACTAACATATAATAGATGAATCACTTACTGTGATGCTGATACCTAATCCTTGATCGGGGCTCCTTTTAACGACTACAGTCCTAATATCACCAAAATGTCCAGCTCCCTCAGTAATTGTTTCTGGTTCGGGTTTGGGACATTTTTCTGAACCGTTATTTAAAGAACTATTCCTCCTACAAGCACGAATAACGGTTTTGTGTCTCTGCAGCAAAATTTCAGACTCCAATTGTCGCCACAGCTTGTCCCTGATATCGCCTCTCATTTCTCTACCTGAAACAGAGTAAAGAACAAATAATTGTTTGTAATTTAACACGGCGACATTTACGAACCCAAAAGTTGCAGTTGTTGAATCCTACCAGCTAATTCCTTATCTAAATATTTTGCAGCGAGCTTAGTACCGCAAACTTCGCTAGTAAGGGCAAGAACCTCGTTTCTCAAGGCGGCGTTTTCTGACTGGAGCTGAACAACGTCAGCTTTGTATTGAGCAGGCTCCATAGCTGCAGAACTGAATTTCAGTTCATCTGTGTCTCTCACAGACACTACAACAAAATAGTATTCAGTGATAGAAAACTGTGAACTAACTTCCAACAAATTGAAATAAATATGGCTATTACCCTAAAAAACTACACTAAACCAATTTCTACAAGATGTTACTAAAATTTCGAGTTGATGACAAAATAAAAATGCTTCAATCAACGATACCAATTCTGCTATATGCAATTTGATGAGTAGCTTATTTCTAATAACTGAGCCGATGGAATGGAAAACTTTTTAAACTCTCAAAAAAAAAAGAGGTAGATTGTAGTAAATAATGAAGACCCTGGGGGAAACCAACTTATGAAGCTCTAAGAAAAACTAAAACACATATAACTATTTCTTCGAGATTGTGGAGAATAATGAAGACCCAACTGAATCAATATTTTATTAACTCACCTTTACGAATGGGACTTTGCCTAATTTCGGCTTCAAGTTTTTTCTTTATGGTATTCACATCGGGTTTAAAATATTGATCTTGCCTTTTGTTTCCTAAGCTGTCGGGAAGCTGTGAGAGCTGCGAGGAATGTAACTGAAGTAGTAGGTGATGAAGCTCGTTTTCGAGTACTTCTCGTTTCGATTTCGAATCCGTCAATTCCGCCCGCATGTGTATTAACTCGGCCTGGAACAAAAAAAACAATGAGTCCACACACAAAATCGTTGTTGCCAATGGTCAGGTACGGCCCCTAATCTGTTGAATCCGCTACTAGTCAAGAACATCCACTGATGTGCAAAAGAACTTACGTCTTCACCACAACGTCTGGCACCAAAACGATTGTTGATTTGATGAATCAAATGAGTAAGTGAAATACATTAGTTTTTCTATGAGGAAGCCATGTATGTAATATTGGTGACAGCAGTGGGATGAGTGGCATCGAAGACATGGAATTTAAATGAATGATAACTTATTTTTGTGCGAAATGATAGAAAACCTAGAAAAAGAAAGCACTATTACAAAGACGCCACTTTAATATAAAACATTTCCTCGACCAACGGATATTTGGATCGGTTACACTTTACACCGACTCTCAGAGAGGTATTCAAACTGTAATTGAGAACCATAGTAGAACCATATAGTATTATGTGAAATCTTCGAAATGTTCATCCATAATAAAATGCAGGCGGTTCTATATCGGTTTGGCATCATTCCTCAATTCCAATATTATGATGTTTGTTTAAAATGTTTTTTCCGTTAACCAGCTATCGCACTCCTACGAACGACAGCCCTCAGAAGTTGAAACTTGTGCGAGCTAAGTCTTACCTTTTAACGTGTGATTCCTAACACGGGTTGGATGATAGCAAGTGAAAATCGAGCGTTCAGCCTGGGGCTTGAACCATCGACTCACACATCGGCCGTTTCACTGAGTGAACAAAGCACCCACGTCGAACCACCCGGCTACCGACCGACCAGTAGACCAATGGAAACAGCATTTCATAATTTTTTCAAGTAAGTCTATGACTCCTTTGATGAAGGAAAGTATGTTTGTGCCCGTTTCTTTGACTATCGAGAGCTTCAGACATTACTGACTCCTCTATTTACAGTTAATTATGATTACTTGATTTCAAATGTTTCTTTCTACTGTGGCTCAGGTCTTATTGGACTCTCAGAAAAATACATGTGGATAATTGACACTCTCAATCATATGACATGGACCCGGGCTCAAGGCTCTATTTTGGGGCCTCTTGTTTTTTTACTTTATACTAATGGTGTACCAAACTATATAAGCACAAATTTTATTTGTCTTATATGCGGGTTATACAACTAGAAATTGACGACGATAGTCTCGAGGAACTCCAGAAAAAGCTATACGTATTGTCGCTTGGATTCAGAAATAAATATGGAAAAATTCACTTCAAGTAACAGTGTTGGTCTCAAAAAAATTACAAACTTGTGGTTAGGGTAGGAAATGAGGAACATTGCATCATCAGATGAATAACAAATATCTTGGTAAGTGCATAGGTAGCAACATGGAATGGGAAAACAGTACCTATAGCTCATGTGAATAAAAAGGTTAATTTGAGTTAGTATGAAATTAGACGTTTGAAATGTTTATGCAACAGAAAACAGTTCCTATTTTGCCCTTGTATACTCTAACATTTCCTGTAAGAACGCTGTGTGGGATTGCTTCTGCAAGCTATTGAGTTTTTGTCGTCCGGAAAATAATCCTTTGCATTTACTCTGGTTACCACTAGTCAAAAGATATCACCTTCCAACTTGATTGATCCAGAAAAAAAAAGCTCAACATCTATCTGTTGATGAATGAGTAGATAACTGTTTATATTTTGTAAACTTACTCCAAACTGCCTTTATATAAATGAATGATTTTCTTACCTGGTATGATCATTAATTATTTCTGTTTCATTTGCTATATTTTTATTGTTTTTATTATTTTCCTACTCTGTTCCACAAATTTCTAATTTTATTTGAGATACTACTACCACCAGTGAAACCCATTTCGTTTTCCATACAGTTTGAATGAAACCTCACTTATGGGAGGTGGAAAAACTAGGTTACCAAAGACATTCTTGAAATTAATAGAGTCATATTTATTATTCAATTTCCACTCAATATCTTCAGAAGTTGACAACTAAAGTACCATTAATATAGTTACCATTCATGAATCAGACATAGTAAATTTAAACCAATATGCTTCTTCAAAATTGTCTAAAATATTTAACGACCAAGGGCTTTATTCAACGATACAAAAATACAGCGCATAAAAATAAGTGTTACTTTATTGGAGTAAAACCAACTCCTCGGTACAGTCATCAAAATCCCAAATAAACAGATATACTTTTCTTCACCTTGGCTACTTCGCCATGATCTTCGCACCGTTTGATACTTCTTCCTGGATGATCTGGATGATGAATTATATAAGAAAAAAAAAGTGAAACCAAGAAGGTTCATCAAAAGAGAAATAATCAAGCATTGCCGTTAGCAACGAAAAATTATCCAGTGCAATAATAAAACGAAGTCCTTGAAAACGAAACCAGATACTCTTCAAGTGGTTACGCGAATTCCCTGCCTATCAGTCCGGCATCATGTTTTATTGAACGTCTGTCTTTTTTAAAGCGCCATTTTCAAATGGACCGCTTTGTGGGAACTCCTCGGTAGCTAATTGAATTACATTAATTATTCTCTGGAATAATTTTGTTTACTGACATTTTTTTATCGAGCAGGCCGGCCAGTGATTTATGCTAATAGTTTCTCGAAAGTGCAAATTAATATAAATAAACTGATCGTTAACTTTTCTAGTGCACTTGTGAGATGCTAAAAAACAAACCTTGAAGTTCATGTAACGATCTCGGTGCGCGTTGATTTTCTTGAAACTGTCCAAATGTGGCGATACAATGGCACAGATGTTATCGACAAGAAGTAATAACAATATATAAAAAAAAATCTTTACGAGACTTCACTCTAGAAATTATCCAGTCCAATGTTGCTTTACGGGGACCTGTAATTTTACAACGAGCTTTCGGGACCAAAATTCATGGGTAATTTTAGAAAAATTCGTGGAAGCAATTTACAAGAAATGACACTCTGTATTCATCCAAAAGAACGTTCCCTGAGAGTGGCCATCGATGGATATCTCTCGAATACTTTCACCATCAACGCTGGTGTTCCCCAGGGATCCATTTTGTATCCAACCCTCTTTTTATCGTATATCAACGACTTATTGGAAAAAACCAAGAATCCAATATATTGCTTTGCTGACGACAGCACACTTGTCTCGTCTTTCCATTTGGATTTCAGGACATCGGCTACGGAGGCACATCTTCACCGGCAGCAGGAGGTTGCATATCTAAGTGAGGATCTACAAGTGATTTCGAATTGGGGTGAAAGTAACCAGGTTCAATTCAATGCCACAAAAACCCAGACATCGGTTTCCTCCAAGAAGATAAATGTCTCCGAACCGTATATAATAATGTCAGGTCAGACAACTCCGCTTTCTGCTTCGATAAGTTTGTTGGGTGTTAAAATGGACACCAATATGTCTTGGTACAATCATGTCGCTCAAATTTCAAAAGCTGGCTTCTCAAAAGCCTGGAACACTGTTCCAAACCAGAAAACTATACACACCTCAGCAACTTTTGATGCTATATAAAGCTCAGATCAGACCTTCTTTGGAGTATTGTTCTCATGTATGGAGCTCTGCCCCCAAACATACCCTGAAGTTGCTGGATTCTATCCAGAAAAGAGGCATTCGCCTGATTTGAGACGCGAACATCACGTGCAACCTTGATAGCCTGGAACATCGAAGAAAGGTTGGATATTTGTCCCTCTTCTATAGATACTTTCACGGGAAGTGTTCAAGTAACTTGGCACATTTGATTCTACCAAGAGCGGTAAATATCAGAAATACGCGACGCACTGTGGCTGCTCATCTTTTTGAGGTTCAACTCAGCACACCTCGAACTTCACTGTTCAAGAACTCTTTCATCTGGAGAACTGCGTTTATGAGGAATACACTTCCCGAGAACGTTTAACCAAATGGATTCAATCTCCAGCGATTCAAATCCAATGTGAATCGCTACTTTCGCACAGGCACCTCTCTGAGAGCGCCTTAAGGATTTTCCTGTAGTGCTTGTGTTTTGTCCTTGCAAAAACCCTTCTAAACATTTATTGAACCTCAATTCAAGACCAATTGAACACAAATGGCCTGATATGGCCCAGGTTTCGAAATGAAAGTTCTTAATCGTTCTCAATGTTTCAGGTATATTTCCCAAAGCAAAAACTTGCTCTTAGGATTACACATAGTTTTTGCCGTTGAAGTTCTGATTCTTTGGATAAATATCGTCTGCCTAGGCAACGTATATGGTTGAAATGAGTTTACTATTTTCTTCAAAATCTAGAAATCATTCCTGGATGCCTTTTAGTGCCTTCAGTTCTGAATTTGTCCAGGTCTCCAATGTTAGATTTTGACTTTTGGCCGGGGGAAGTGCATCTATCAGGAATAAAGTACGAGTTTGAATTCGGTAGCAATGAGAGCTACTTTATTGTTCTTTCACTCGACGTCCATATCTCTGAAGATGAATCGAAACTTTGACAGTATACAAATAAGAAAAAATACATCTCTGTTTCCAAGGAAACCGTGGAAGATACAACGATGGTTAAATTGGGAAAATATTGACCATTTTAGAGCTTCCTTAGGCGTATTCATACCCATGTGAAATTTCATTGAGCAGTTCACAAAACCCCAACACGTGTTTCACTATACGAAAGCTTCCTCAGGTGTGTTCAAGTATGAAAACGTCTGATAAAGCTACTGAACTGAATTTAACAATTTACAAAACCACAACACGTGTTTCACTATACGATAGCTTTCTCAGGTAAGTTCAAGAATGAAAACGTCTGAGGAAGCTATTAAACTGAATTGAACAGTTTATATAACCACAGTACGTGTTTTACTGAGGAAGTTATTGAACTGAATTGAACAGTTTACAAAACCACAACACGTGTTTCACTATACAATAGCTTCCTCAGATGATATCAAGTATGAAAACACCTGAGGAAGCTATTGAACTAAACTGAACAGTTTACATAACCACAGCACGTGTTTTACTATATGATAGCTTCCTCAGATGTGTTCAAGTATGGAAACGTCTGAGGAAGCTACTGAACTA